ACGACGACGACGACGACGAGCACATGGAGACCGAGCGGGAGAGCTGGGACCAGTGAAGCGACGGCTGCACAACCAACGACGGTGACGAGAATGAGGACACGGACCACGGACAATGGACCACGGATTAGTTAAGGATTATTTAAATTAGTTAAGTTTTTGGTAATGGGGATATATATGTGAAAAAACAAACAAAAAAAACAACATTTTTATAAAAGGAAAACCAAATAAAACAAACGGGTAAAACCACTAAACGTGCAACATTAACCTTCAAGTTCTTCGCGATAAGAGGATCGCTCAGAACTTCCTTGGGGAGGGGGACTAGTGTAATGAAGAGAATATTGGCAGAAAAAGGGAAAGTTAATTAAAAGGAAAAAGTCATTAAGGACAGTGGAAAACTACCGGCTAGCCTAAGCTAGAGAATGTCCGGCAGGTCTTAGCAAAGCAATTAATCTTAGGGACGATTAGGATTAGTCGTGCTACGATGGTCAGTCAGATAGAACGGTCACTCTGACCAACCTAAAGCATTCCATTAAAACGCTCTGAAAACTCGCCGTCCAGGGGCGTAGCGAGGGCCAATGCTGACGTCAGATAGCGGGCTAATGATCTCAAAAAGAGAATAAATACCGTCGTACTGGACTCTAGAAGTAGTTCCCGTACGGCAGCGTCTCGTAAGTATTAATAGGTCTATTGTATGAGTGCTCATCGTATTTGTGTCTCTCTCTCTTTAAACTATTTTGAAGCATTGTATTTTGTTTATTTACGTTGCTACCCTCTGTTTTTCATACACATCCACTCTGTTGGTTGTTCTGTGAGAAACACGTTAGTACGAAAACATACTCTGTACGTGAGAGAGACGGAGCACTTTAGCTAAGGATACGTAGACCATTGATACATTTGTAACTAACCATCTGTAGACACGCAGGCAAGGCGTGCACTGTATTACGTTTTATCTAACACGACGAAACCCCTGTATGTTTGTTGCATTTAATTGGTGACTGAAGTAAATAGATATATATATATTGTTGTACGTACATGTCTGGTTTGTCTATCATTCTATGCTAACCTCAGGGTAATTAATCTATAATTACCCGCACCAAGCAGGACCTGTGGTTTTAGAACATCGCATGGTATATACACTATACGTCACGCACACGCACACACACACACACCTGAGCATACACGTATATACGACACGAGAAACGAATCACTACACAATCCATAAGCTTGCTGGACGAGTTTAAGAGTCTAGGCAGGAAAAACTATTGAAATGAACGTAGCAAGCATATGGCTAAATTAGGTGACCTATTCTTCTGTCATCTAGGGCCGATTTCTAGGCTGTCATTTCTATCGCGTGCCGTTTCATTCAACACTCTACCCGCCGAAAAAGACTAGGATCCATTCTTGTCAGTTTTTTTTAACATTTTAATTCGTTTGTGTTTTTTGGGTTTAAAAGTTATATTGAATTAGGTGTCTCAAGTTAGCAAGAGGTCAGGGAACCAGAAGGGCAGAACACTCGGGAAGGGCCGTTTCCAGCCATCTGGGGGGTTTGTAAAACCAAAAATTTTCTTGTACGCTCAGCGCCAACCGATGGTGGCGCTCCGCTCAGATAGTCGTGCCTACAACTTTGAAAATCCTGGCTACGCCCATGGCTATAGTACCATACGACAGTTGGCAGTACGTACCTACGTACGTACCTACGTACGTATGTCGTATTACGAGAGCCGAGACCCTCTAATAACTTTAAGATGAAGATGAAAAAATCAACATTTTACACCAAAGAATTGCAATTTAAGTGATAATTATGTTATATTACATGAGTAAAATGTGTTTTTCATGGAATATACCATCACGAGAAACGTACTTATCTACCGGATCATAAACCAAAACAACTTGGCGTTGTCTCTTCTGTTGACTCCCCTAAGGGGAAGTGATGTCACTCCGCCGCCCACACATATCCGTAGCCATCTCGGCACGCGCGAGTTTCATCCGCAAATGAAAAATGAAATGAATTTTTTTGTTTTTTTTTTGAGAAATGAAAATGAAAATGAATTTGAAATAAATAAAAATGGAAATGAATGTTGAAATGAAAATGGAATGGACATGAAATGAAATGAAAATAATTGAAATGAAAATGAAAATGAAAATGAAAATGAATTTGAAATGAAAATGAAAATGAAAATGAATTTGAAATGAAAATGAAAATGAAAATGAATTTGAAACGAAAATGAAAATGAATTTGAAATGAAAATGAGTTTGGAATGAAAATGAATTTGAAATGAAAATGAATTTGGAATAAAAATATCCGTAGCCATCTCGGCCACCATACTATGGCTATGTGTACGCGCGCGAGCTATCGAAAAGGTTAGCCAGCGCTATACTTTAATATTAGTGAGATATTTGTGCAATAACATTTATTTTAATTTGACAGACAGTATTCACTTGCGTACGTGTGAACGCTCAGACTCAAACCGGCCCGAGCCAAATCTAGCCCATTTGGCTCGAGCCAAACCATGACCGTGTGAACGCGACTATAGAGTAGTCAGTGGAGTTAGACTAGGGGTTGTTTTAGTAATAGTCTATCTAGACACAACGTCGAGCATTTTGTGTGGCCGCATTGATGTTACTGGGAATTGGATAAGCGTGTTTTAGGTTAGGCAGATTCTCGAGTCATTGTAAAATAGGGGTGCAGATCGAGCGTAGACATGGCGGGGGTTTTGGAAGGACAGAGATGTAGGAGTCGAGGAGTCTGGTTGTGGTCGCATGAGTAAGCACACACGCTCAGGCGCGTGTGCGTGTTTCTTTGTCTCTTTGTGCAAGATGGACACACTGTGTGCGAGCATATATTAAAGTTTATTCGGTTTACCACACAAGTTTGAATTCCTTCTATATCATTTATTCAACAAACGTAATTCAACATTACACTAGGATGGTAGGCTTATATCAGTTTGAATTCAATAATAATTTTGTACAATGTTAATTGTTTGGAGTGAATAGATTTAATCACTTGGAAAATAATTATTACTCATTTATACACTTAATAACATGAAATATTTACTTATGTAATTGTGTAAAAAAAGATGTTAGAATAATGATGGCTGGCTCAAACTTTGTTTCAAGTGATACAAGAATATATATTGTTCGAGCACTATACAGTATTCTAGTATCGTTTACAAACTTACAAATACAATCGTTTACAAATATCGCTTTAAATATCACCAAGAGCAAATAATACCCTAGTTTTATTAGCTCTTGAATTCATTCAGATGCATGATCATGATGCAAGGCATGATCACACCAGCAACTTATAAGAGAGGTTAGGTCGCAAACTATCACAAACAATCACAATCTCTCAAATTCCTTGGGAGTCAAGGAAATATATACCACTGCTTTGATTGCTGCGATATTAATCGCGGCTGCTTAACGATTAATTACATGTTACATGTTATGTGTATGTAAAAGACATTTACTATTAGGTTAGGTTACAAACTATCACAAAACAATCACAAATTCTAGAATCTCATGGGTGTCAAGGGCTGATAACAATTGCTTCACCGGAACTAACATGTAATCCGAAACCTATGCATTTAGATGTTTGCATGTACATACTAAAACTAGAATGATGGTCACAGAGGGGGACTAATAATACCCCCCACCCCGCGCCGGTTTTGAGCTGTTACGGTGCCTGTATGTTTATTAATTGTAGCGCGCACACACACACGCACGCACGCACGCCAGCACGCACACACGGAGGGAGGGAGAGAGAGAGAGAGAGAGAGAGAGAGAGAGAGAGAGAGAGAGAGAGAGAGATGGATTATAACCACATGTGGGGCCGTTATTTATATGTGCGCTTATCTGAAGGGAGGCGATTTTGGCAAACAGCTGGCACGAATTAACGGCCAGGGCATTTTATTGTATGCGAGTAGTGCTCATAGGGTCTATATGTCCCCCAGGGTACTGCCGGTACGTACCCTGGGTACGGTCCGGTATACCGGAACGTACCCTGGTCACTATTTGATATGGGGTACGTTCCCAGGGTACGTTCCGGCAGTACCCCAGGGGACATAGACCCTCTCAGCGCGAGTAGTGGCTCGGCAGTTATGTATGAAATAATCCATTAGATGGCATCAGCATGTCATATATAACCAAATGGGTTTATTTACGGAAAACGGCCATAAATCTTTCCTAAAATTTCGGACCAAAAAAATTCATTGCAGGTGCACAACTACTTTGGGTACTGATGTGTGAAATCCGTCCAGTACTTTTCGAGGAAATCTGCGCACAATTCTAGTGTAAGACGACCAGACAGACTGATTGATTCCAGTATACCCCCTAACTTCTTTGGCGGGTGGTATGAGGTTACATATTATATATATCTAACGTGCCCCGTTTGCAATGTCGACTCGCCATTATAAACCGACCTAAATCACCGATAAATCAACCTGCAATGTGTTTCGCTGTCCATCCAAGCTCGAGGTCTGACCCAATGGAAAGCAGTAGTAATCGTTCGTATGCGTAACAATCACTGTGCTGATTATCAGTCATCTATGACGTTCTCCACAATCGATCCTAACAATCTTCCAAACTCCTCGTCGATTCCTACCAAACACTACTCACCAACAATGAATTACTGCTCAACATATCGCACTCGCAAGTGTTCAGCACAACGCCCAACTGCTTAAACAAGCCCATACTGTTGCCCGCTGTCACATTGATAAGAATGTCTCCTCGAGTTCACCGTGCCCACCTTACGTGTTCATGTCACGGCTTGTCAGCTGTCTCTGCACTCTGACTCTGACCGATAATGCCCTCAGCATTATGCAAAACGACAGAATCAGAATGGAAATCGTAATAAGAGAAGACCCTCTCTGTAATGACATGTATTCTATGACTGACTGTCATCTATTTCCCTGCGTTAAGTTACCAATGTAGAGAGTCCTCTCATGAATGTGATATTAACTCTATGCTCACGCTGTTTATTTCATCATGCGGAGAAAATGGCAGTGCAGGCAAGCCTTCTCCAAAATCATTTAACTGCTGTATCTCAACTCTTCATTTGCTCTGCCACACAGACTGAGGTCATGCTTCCTAACTGATTATCCGTTTCTTCCTCACTCAATATAAGTGGATATTTCCTAGGTGTACACTCACTCGCGTTCCCATGAGGATCAGGATGAGGATAATTGCTTGTTCTAAACAGTACATTACCTGAGATGAGGTTCTTGAGCATCCGAGCTAATACTGGATTTAATGCTGGTAGAGACTAACTGGGAATTGCACTCTTTCTTTTCTGTTGATCCACCAGCCATAGCACTAGAAGTTATCATTTGTGGTATGCTGAATAACTTTCTAATGGTGTGCACATTCTCCTGAAGCAGCTGCATGCCGTTCTCAATGCTATGCTGAGATATATTGGAGTCGGTGATACTGCTTAGCCTATGTTGTGACACTTTATCAGATGACTGTGTATTAATGCTATTACTTAGCCCATGGAAGGATACAACATTTGACTGATTATCACTGATATGCGGGGTGGCAGCTGCAGCAAGCCAGTCAAGAAAGCTGGGCAGTGGTTTGCCATTCGCATAGCAAACAATACCACAATGTGGTTTCTTTGGAATGTAATTGGATATTGTACACATAAAACAATCACGACTCCCTAAAAGGTGGGGCTGTGATAACCTTTCAGCCGACTGTTTCTCATATAGTTCCACAGCTATGGGAGGTTTCAGCCCTCTTTGTTCAATGATCCTATTGCCATCACACGACTCTTGCTGTTGGCTGCTCATACCATGATGTAATAATCTGACCTTCTGCAGCCCCATGGCTATGAAATGCTGATTCCACTCCTCAACGTAACACATATAATCTTCCCTGAGGATATGCAGGAGAGCTATGTTATGCAGCGGTTGCTCTATTACTTGTGTGATGACTGGTTCTCGCTGTGGCAGCTCAATGGTGGTTGATGTGGCTAATTGTTGCAGACATAGAGGTGTGATGGATTCCTCATCTTCAAGTCCAGTATTGTTCGTTTCCATTATGGGAGTACATGATATCCTTGGGCGTTTTGTATGCTGTGCGCCAATGTCCTTCCCAGCCTTATTAGAGGGAATACATGTTATCGGCACCTCGCCAACATTTCCCACGGTTGAAATAGTATAACCCACTCCATTTTTGGATACTCCTTTATTTGCAAACATAACCCGCTCATGACACAATTGATGCGAATCAGGAGCATGGTCGCTAAAATAACACAGTTGAGAAAGGGATTTCTGTGAGACTGGTTGTTGCATGCATCTCACGTTCAATGGTACTGCCGCCTGCTGTTGCTGCTGCTGTCCTAGTAATGCATGTGAGGGCACCACAAAGTCCGCTTTAGTTTCATCACTCTTGTCAACTCCTGCAAAGAAAATCTGCATGATAACACAATAATGTTATCGTAATTACATATCAACAGACGAATCTTTGTAGTTTAACCACCAGCTTGCTTGTAGCAAGAAGAATAACATATGCTAGTTGTGGCAGAATATGCAATACAGTGCAGAGGTAGCAAGATGTCAATATCAATATCAATATTATGGAGAGAAAATTATGGAGAACAACTAAATACTAAACATGAGAGCGGCAACTCCGGAGCCCTTAGCACTGTAGGACTGTCACATGTAAAGAAATTCAAGGTAGACTGGGCAGTGAGTTGCACCAGAAATGCTGACAGGTTTCGTTTTCAGTTTCGATGTCTGGCGTAAGCTGGTGTTTTTCGGTGGGCAGTCAATCAGTTTTACATGGCCAGAGTGAAGGTGCAACAGTGTGGGCTCAGCAGTAATGAAGTTAATACACTGCATACTGCGTTGGAAGCAAGACGAAGAAAGGTGTTAATATACTGTATACTGTATTACAATCAATAATAAGGAAGAAGTTAATATAGTGACTACTGCATTAGAAGCAATCAAAATTAAGAAGTTAATATAGTGAATACTGCACTAAAAGTAAGACGAAGTTAATATAGGCTATACTGCATTACAACAAAGGAGAAGAAAGAACCAAGACGGAAACTCTGGGTTTATACCCACAACATATGGAGAGATAGCAACATCGCTGGCTATGTAGGAGAATGGTAGCAACGGCATTGCAAAATATATATGCTATATGTTGTTGTGGTACACGCAATTGTTCGTCGACTTGTTGGGTTCTATTGTTTATGACATTTTGGCATATCTCATTGACATTTTGTCATAAACAAGTTCTCATTCAATAGATTTACTTTACTCTCTGTTTTGGCAATTAATTGTTCGCGTTGCAAGACAATGTGTTGCCGTATAACGTACAAACTCCATCCCTTACTAAGCAGGGACGTATACATACGCCCCTGGACTCGTCCGTCTACAATTGTTCTTACAGGAACACAGGATGTGGTCACTATTTTCAGTTATTACGTAAGATGCTAATGGTAAATACGATGTCTCCATCTTCTAAGTAAACAAGGTACACATACAATGCGCGCTTAGCAACAGCAACTGCTTTGGCATGATACGCTTCTTTGCCTTTCACAGCTTTCCTCAGCAATGCGTTATATATAGCACATTTCACATGAGACGCGGTACTGCGCCTGCACCGTCATTGTATATGAGCGATCACCGTTAGCACGTGAAGTGACAACTACCAAAAGTAAAGGTGCAGTATACGATAATACGAACTAACAACCTGCTACGATCAACGAGCTGTTGGGCTCTACACACGTGGCACTGTGCGATAATGCTGCCCTATATCCTACTTGGACGCATATGTTTTGCGTAGTCAGGCACTCGTCACAAGCTTACGATGGGTCGAATAATAAGAATTTTTTCATTGCAGTTACTTGCATCTGAATCTGCATATATCGATGTAACTAATGAAATCCATAATAACAAAAAATATATATTAATATATAACTTTACAACTGTTTAGTTATATAAATTGTATATATATATTGTCATCTGAGCCTTAAGCGACTAGCTGTCCCTGATTTTTAAACGTGAAATGTGTTTCGCATTAACAATTGTAAATTTGTACACAAGCAGAAATACACACAACCACGCATACATTTTATGCAAAAAAAAAACACTCAGCGAAGCAGTCGAGTATGTTTTGGGTTTAGCACCAGTGCAGTACGACGCGCGCAGTTTATTCATTTTTTTCTAATCGCACGCATGATGCACAAAGGTAAAAACTTGTACGTAAAGCCGATACATGGCCTTGACACAGCCGACTAGTTTTTTTATAAGACAATCACTGGCATCCACTGATGTCTATATAATAACTGGATAGCGCTTAGCCTATCCACTGACCACGGTCAGTAATGAGTTACGTCACCGCGGAACTGCCGCCATCTTGCCACAATGCACCCCCAAATACTGAAATCTGCTAGTGTGCAACCATAACATTTCAATTGGTTAATGACGAAAGAGTTTATTTTATAATTGCATATATTGCATGAAAACAAACTTTGATAAACACACGACAGAATTGATATGTTTTTATAGATAGATATATACAGCGAGAGAAAGAGACAACAGATATGAGTCTATACATAGGGGTTTTGCATGTGACGTCATGTGTCACGTGAAGATTCTAGTTTGAGGAGGTCATGACATCTGATGACTTCACCTATTGGTGACCACATCTGTGTCTACATTGGCTAATGATGTGACAACGAGAGAAGTGGGAAGTCTAATGTCAGCATATCGGAGCGATATCACGAGTTTAAAATCCGTCGGACCGGAATAGTCTCGTTCCCTGTGAGTTTCAGTTGTCCTCCTATCAGTCACCTATCAACCACAGATTCATTTTTTATTTTTTTATTTTGCACTTTTCATTCATTTGTACAGATAATTTCAGATAGTAGTAAAAAGGGAGAGAAATAAATAATATTATAGAATCGATAGGTTTAAGGTGAATGTGCGTAGTGGTCAAAGTAGTAATAAGCTTTCGAGTTGACCACTACGAGGGGGGGACAGGGTGTTGGCGTCCTTCCCTCCCCCTAGTCCTCCCACCTCTCCCTCCCACCTAACTTTTTCCGCTTCGGAATACCTGTTAGCGCGTATTAAACTGCTCATAATTCGGGGCGTAAATCCAATACATTGCTATACTGACTGCAAACTACGAACATTTTCTCTACCTAGACAGCACCTAAGCCATAGGACGACTATCAACCTCACACCATAACCATCTTCTACTTTGACATGTACATCACCACAGAGATGCACTCCAAATCCTCCTTGGTAGACGAACAATGTCACAGATAATATTTATGCCTTTACATCACCATAGAGATTAAAAAATCTTAATATAACATATACATGCCACAAACAGGAAGTCTTTTCCCATAGGATTGTATCGATGTGTAGATTGGTCCTTAGCTCTTCTACTAATTTATCCCTTAGTAATGCCTCCTTCTTGTAGGCCGATCTTGTTAGACACCAGTGCTTGATGTTGTTTCCTCTGTTGGGGTCCGGCTTCTATCTGTTCTTATGGCCCTGGAATGATTTTGGTGCATCCCTTCTGATAGACGCGTGGTTGTGTGGGGTGCGTCCTTCTTGATGTGAATAATGGAACGCACTCTGCTCTTGCTTCCATTTGCTCTGGGGTTAGCGCGACTTGTTGGATTAGCGCTCATCTGTGCTTTCTTCCACATTTCCTCCCTCAAGCTCAAGGTTATGTTCGACAATAGTCCACATCCTGTCATCTTTATTTATATTTAAAATCTCATTCTCACCTCTGTCAAAAGCTGTGTCTACCTGTGCGCTGTCAGCTGATCTGGGATCGATAATCTGCCGAGAGGAAGGTTGACCGAAAGACAGCGGCGTTGTCAGACCCCGAATTTTTCCACTTTTGTCACCACTGCGAGACTCTCTGAATCACAATTGTGAAGCGATCGCTCCACGAGTTGGCTACCACACGCAACTCCACCTCACCACACTGGCGGGCTGGTCGTGGGATACCCGCTTTCGTTGTTTCGTCGTTGTTAAACGCTTGCATTCGAAAGTAGTGCACAAAGTAAGCAACAACCTCCCTAGGTATAAGAGTATTCTCATCGGTTGGCCTCATTACTCCAAGTGTTGTCGTTCTGGTAACTTCTCCGTCTTTCCAACCAGGAATACATCACAGCGGTTCAGCGCCCGTAGCCACCCTCTCTCACCTGGTCTTGGGGGTTCGTTCAGACTGTAATGGTGGCAACTTTTACTGTTTCTCGGCAGAGCGGTCTACTATTATTTTGTACCAGGTGGGGGTCTTATCCGTAACTCTATTTATTCGGCGAACGCGTTAGTATGGTTATCTTCTCCTCCCCGAATTTTTTTTAAATTACACCCCCTTATAGTCCGCTTTTCTCAGACGTTAGCAATTGGTCGTGTCGGCACTACCCTGCGACCTCCTGTACATCTGCCGCCTACTTCTGGTTGGAGAGTAATCTGGGGGTTGCGTGGCGTATCTTGAATAATCTGAACCCACGCTGCGGAATGATCCGAGAGCCAATGGCGCTGATCTTCTTTTTCTGTTATCGAGGTGGGTATATTGTGGAGACGGGTGTCGAGTCGGGTTCGTTCTGCTTTGGCTTTTGTGTTTTTGTTTTCTTTGTATGGTGTTTTTTTTTTCTGGGTGTATTCGAATTGTTTGTCTATGTGCTTGTGTGTTGTGTCCTGTGTTTGAGTGTGTTTGGGTCGGTGGCGGGTGGGGGGGGGTTGCATTCTTTTGGTTTCACGCCCTCGCCGCGACGAGTGGGAGATTTTGCAACTTATTGTACTACTATAAATGGGTTGAGCCAACCTGTAGGTGAGAATTCTTGCCAATTAAAAAAAAAAAATTTTATTTGTCTTTTGGCGTTGTTCTCGGGGGGGGGGGTGAGTAGTTCTGGTTTGTGTATTTTTTTGGTGCTGGGAGTCATTTAATCTTAAGCGCTTCGTGGTGTCCGTTTCCTGTGCTTGTCGGGTCTTATGCAGTGCGCGTAGCGTGTTTTCCGTTTCGAACTCCCGTGACTGAGCTCCTCCCACTGTCCCCCGGTCTACTTGGCCTGGGTATTGTCGTATTTGGTTGCCAGCCTCTTCGCCTGTACAAGGTTACTTTCGTGGCGGCGATGAGACCTGGTCCCTTATGTCGTTTCCTGTGTTCTGTGCCCTCGCTCCCGCCGCACATTCTGTTTGTCAGTTTCTTGACAACCTCTACCACATCCGGCCCTATCTATGTTTCGTGTGCTTTATTCTCCGAACAGTGGCTTCTGACGCATTAAAGAATGACGTGACTATCCATTTTACGGCGCGCGTCAGAATCTCGAGCATAACACTGACTCTTGTATACGTCGTCCGAGTCGTTGCGGTGTCTTGTGTCGGGTCTTACGTGCCCCTTGAAGATACTGTAGAGTTGCCTGAACAAAAGCCGCGTCCATAAATGTAGTTGAAGCAAACACCCGGTGATGCTAGCAGGCCCCAGTGAACTCTTAACGAACGCAGGCTGGGAATAACTCGGGGCTGTAGAAGTGAAATCGTGACTCAACCGTGGTAGCGATTTAACATATGCGATCATGATATGCAATCCTTACGGCACCCTTAAACGTTGTATACATCTCGGGTTCTACCTGCACTCTCGATCGCATTTTATTTAAAACCAATTCGGCCTTCGGCTGTTTGAAGTCTTCCATGGCGAATAATTCGGATGCAGAGAAGATACGTAGTCGGCATTATCTTATCTATCTATCTATATATATATATATACACCACGGCCATCATACACTTGCACACCGGGCTCCACACAACTACTCGCTACACCGCTGCAGGTCCCACGAGCCCGTGGTGTTACGCCTACTTCACCACCGCCCACCGATGTGCCTGGTCCTCCCCCTCCCACGTACCTGAATAGGCGTAATCAAAAAGTCGGAGGAAAAGTACAATCTAGATGATCTATAAATTATTGCCAATATACACGCAAACAGAAATCAAAATATATACATTACAATTAAACATTCATATGAACGTACAGTATATCTAGAACAACGACAATGACAATTGAGGGGCCCTTGTAATAAGTAATCGAAGAACAAGAAAGCCACCATTATAATATAATATATAATCTAATTTCTGAAGTGGCCTTCTTAAATAACATACACTTAATTTAATGACACATTGCTGTTGTCTACGTATAAAAAATAGTATATTATATTCATATATATCATATATATATGGAACATGCTAGGAACAAGAAATACAATTGAGGTAATAAGTAACGGAAGAACAAGAACCTAGCATTCTATCCAATTAAATATAAACTAATTTCTAATGGTCCTAATTTAACATACACTATATCTTATATCTGAACATTGTGCCTGTCAACGTAAAAACAAAAAAATTTATACATATTTATAACATATATATCACCTTGAATCGCTACCTCGGCACACTTCGCGACACTATCGCAGAATAGCAATCCGAGTGCGAGTTTTATACCAGTTACTGGACTCTGGGGCCGACACAGTGCTATGCAACCAGTTAGCTGCATGGAGCCGTCAGTAATGCGTGCGGAGCGTGATTCCCACGCGTCCCCTCGTCCGGCCACGACTGTCGGAGTGAAAATAATAGCTTCGTGGGCGAGTGAAGCCCCTAGAATGAAGTCTGCACTTCGTGCCCATTTGCGAGCGGCTACAATATAAATTGTGCGTCTTACAAATCTTTAAATCAAAGGTGGGTTCGCTTACGTCTTTATCCAAATTATGTGCTATGAAATACGCATTGGTGGGTAGCTGATTCGTGAAGCGGAGGGTCGTTCCTGTTTCTGACATCCCACGAGCCAGCCTCGACTCTTACTTATTATCAGGAAGGTCGGTCGCGGCGATCAGTAACAGCCATGCCCGCCTTGAGAAATCGTTTGGTCTGGGTCGTCCAGCGGCGCACACTGCGCGCGATGCGATGATGCGTATACGTTGCCGGCCTCGGCGCGGATATTGCCATTGACTGTACGGTGGGAGGGGGGGAGTGCAGGATCTTAAAAGTCACGTGACGTGCCTTGTGGTAAAGGCGGACACACCATGGCGCATGCCACTTGGGGGATGACCTGCACTTTTACGCCCTGTCTGATGGCATTCGGGCGAGTCGTGGACACACCATGGCGCATGCCATCGGTCGATACAACGGCCGTGATGGCATCGCGCAGTCGTCGACACACCAGGGCGATGCCATCGGGCGGATGGCATCGGCCGATGCCATCGCGACGGATTCTTGCCGCGCAGCGCGCAGGGCGCGCTTCGCTGGATTAACTGCTGAGTTGGCCTGAGCAATTGTAACGAATCGCGCCGATGGCCCATCGGGCGAGCGCGCGCAACACCAGGCGATGCTCACATCGGTCGGATATATAGTCAAAACGTTTTTGATCTGCTTACTGCTAATCGCATCGGCCGAGTGGCATCTGGCGGCGATTGTACGCGGATCACAATCCAGCGGGATTTTCATCGCACGATGCCAGTCGGCCGATGGCATTCGACCTGGTGTTGTGCCGGTCCCTTAACAAGTCAATAAAATCGGCGTGATATGATGGCGTTCATTTGATGGGGCCAAAGGCAGCCCCATGAGAATAAAAGTAAATTTAGATATGACATAATGAAAAACCCCGAACTTTCACGAGACCTTGACTTGACATTTTGAGAGAATAAAGTGTATTCAGACTGAATTACAATGTGTAGGTAAATCAATGTGTTTTTGCTGTTTTTTCACTATTGCTTGACAAGCCATTTTTGTTTTAAAATTGGGTTCGAGTACAGATCCGTTTAGGCGCGAGTTAACTTGCTACTCTCTACTTCTAACGCCTAGTATTGGCACCATCAACACTATCTGAATGATTTATCGTGCCAAGCTGCGGAGCGCCTAGTTGAGACTAAATAAAAATTTTCCTTTCCCTTGATTTTCTAAAGAAAAAAAAACCAAAAAAGCAAATTTTACTTAAAAAACTGCCCTGATGACCGATGTCGTTTAGGCAGTAATCAGAGACTTAAAGGAACATAGATTTTCGGCTGTCACCACTTCAGTGGGTAAGGCGTTCCACTCTGTAATAGACCTGGGAAAGAAGGAGCCTTTCCTGTAGTCACATCTGCAGGATGGGATTTGAAAAGAGTGCTCTGACATGTTCCTGGTGCTTCGAGTAGGTGGTATCAACCCCTGGTAAATTAACTTTTTGACTCACTCTTTTTTAAAGCTCTAACACTGAAGCAGTCAACTACTGTTAAACCATCACCAAACCTTGTTTGCTCATCCTGTTGCGTTCCAGCAGATTGTTACGGTAGTCACACACATTGGCAGCTGTACCAAGATAACGCATATCATGTCTGTGTGTCACCTCCTGCTGCATAGCTTTATTGCCAGACTCAACTTTCAAATCTGCTGTCATGGCATACAGTGGGCTGCTCCATCCTGTAATGCGCTGGTGTTCTTGTCTAAATGTAAGCAAATACCAGTTGTAGATCACATTGCTTGAAGCTGCAATTAAATTAAATCCTTGAAACCGATTAATGAGATCACGCTCATAAACAGGATTATACCGGTACATGTGAGTTAATACATAGGTGTGACAATTGATAATTTTAAAAGCGTAAATTATGCGACACACAATTCTGTAGTGTGCATCACGTTTCCCCACTGACTTGAATTAATTATGGAGATGCATGACCACAAATTGTTGAGGAATTTCAGTCAGTAAAAGTCATACCCCTCCAATACAAAGACATTGTTAATTCATGTAAACTTTGGCAAACATATACCAATTCATTAAATAAGTTCATTCGGTTGGTAGAATAATATAAATAACAAAGTTAATTTTTACTCAGCCGTGCTGGTTTGAAACGTACCGCTGACGTTTCGCCTCCTGTCAGGAAGCTTTCTCAAAGCAAACTGATGTTAATCAGTTTTGACCACCAGATGGTGTAGTGGAAACACACATCCACACACTCCTAAAGACAGAACAGACATGCACAACATTACGGACTGCGTCTATAAGATACCGTGTGCTATGTGTGAAAGAAGTTACATTGGAGAAACCGGCCGAAAATTTAAAACCCGCCTAAAAGAACACCAAAAGGACGTAGACACCGTAGCACCCAAATCGTTCACAAGGGCCCAACGAAAACAGTCGGCTACCGAAATCACCAAATCCGCGATCACTGATCATGTAGCGAAGGACAACCACACCATCGATTGGGAGAATTCGCAGATCATTGATCGCGAGCCTAACAAAATCAGGCGCTGGATCAAGGAGGCCATCTGGATCCGCAAGACCCCAAACATCAACCGGGACGAGGGGGGATACAGGCTTATTCACGTGTGGACTAAGCTATTGACCACCACACCATCTGGTGGTCAAAACTGATTAACATCAGTTTGCTTTGAGAAAGCTTCCTGACAGGAGGCGAAACGTCAGCGGTACGTTTCAAACCAGCACGGTTGAGTAAAAATTAACTTTGTTATTTACATATACCAATTATTTAAAAAATAGAACACATGAAAGGAACTTGTGTAGTAACAAGTAATAAAAAAAATTACTATCACGCGCATGTAGTAAGCGGGATGCACTAATTATGAAGGTACAGTAACAGTATTTTTTGCAAGTAAAAATAGACAAACCTACATATCCCAAGTAACTGTAACCCAGAATATTATTACTTTAATTATTAGTATGTCCTTAAATGTTAACCTAGTGCACATCGAGATAAATATCCAGTGGCGGATCTAGAGGGTGATTGGTGTGTGTGTGTGTGGGGGGGGGGGGTTCACCCAACAGCAGTTACAGGCCACACAGGTACCATGACTGACTGTCTTTGCCTAGTGTTTCACCCACATCCTTGCGGACTAGGTGGGCCTAATTTTGGTACGATCACTTTGTTGTCGCAGATCCAGCCTGTAAGGAGACTCGTTTGGAGTTCTGGCAGTAGGTGTTATTATTTGATGCTCACAATAGTCAGAGCACGCATAGTCAACGCAAGATACTTTTAGCAATAACTGGTTTTAATTACTTTCCAACCATGCGTGGCATACCATCGCGAACTGGGTCCTGGTAGGCCAGATTGTTTTTCCCACATCTTGATTCTTTTGGCAGAACACCACTCCCTCCGTGCCATCATTGATAGATTCAATACAACTTGTTTTGCCACTAGAGATTACTGTAAAGCACTCGCAAGAAGCTTGAACTCTGTGGCATCGCATGGTCATTGGAGCATGCAGACGGCCT